AAAGGTGGTTGCTGTTTGGCCATTGGGAGCTCAACGGACAGCCAATCCTGCTGACCATAGCGGTGAGTAACAGTTTTAATTTACATTTATTTTGTAACATATTTCTGTTACTCAAGGTGGATGCGACAACGAGCAAGAACATGTTGTCACGCCAAGATGTAGATCAATCGTGCGGATCATCAACCCAAACGACCGTCTATGTCTCGCACGGGCAGTATTTGTAGGATTGACCAAAATCTGGATGATGGAGAGAGGAGAAGCAGCAGGAGTATTCAAGGCCTTTTGTAAACAACCACAAGATCAACACGCAGGACCGGCACAAGAAATGCTACGAAAAGCGGGTATTCCTCTCAATCTTCAGGAATACTCGCTGGCCCATCTGGAAACTTTGCAGCAATCTTTAAAGCATCACATGGGTGGTGCGGGATATATTCGCCTCGTAGTGTTTAAAAAGGAACAACAGTATCGGATCGTATACAAAGGAGAAGGAAAAGCCGCACGTTTCAACATTTGTCTTCTCTTGGAAAACAACCACTACCACTACATTGACAGGCCGGAACAACTATTCAACGTTGATCGTTACTGCATCGACTGTGAAAAAGGTGTTTCTAGATGGAGTCATTGGGCTGGATGCAGTGTTGTATGCAGGCTGTGTATGAGAACTGGGCCTGAATTTCCGTGTCAGGTATTATTTAATTTTTATTACAATTTCATATTTTTAGTTGGAGGTTAGAATTCCATGCGCCGATTGTGGTTTTGTTTTCCCAAATCGAGCGTGCTTTGACTACCATTTGAGAAATGAGGCTCCGGAAGAGATGGTTCGTCGCGGAAATAGGCCGTTTACATCAATTTGCCAAATGCGAAGAATTTGTGCTCGTTGCAACCATATAATTTATGCCAATCAAGAACAAAAACACCAGCAAGAATGCCCTTTACGAGTAGAACAGCAGCAACAACAACAACAACCATCAGTTTCAAGCTCAAATCTGCATTTTTCTTGTAAGAAGTGTAAAGGTCCGCATGATCTTGAACTACCGTGTTACATCCAGCCACTCAAGGAAGTATGTGATGAAGAAGAAGATAATGGGAAGCGTACTCCATTACGCCTGTGCTTTTTTGATGCGGAGACGAGTCAAGACGAGCCAATGCAGATTAGCAACAACATCAATGGATTCAAACATGTCCCTTTACTAATAATTGCAGAGGTAATCTATTTTTTTCCTACCAAACATATTTTTTTTATCAGGTCATCTGCGAAAAGTGCATTATTGCTGGCATTGGAGTTGAAAACATTGGACAGCGAGCGGAAGGCTGTTTTTGTGGAAAGCCGTGTAATGATCAATGGCGACGCTGGTGTTCACCTCCCTTCAGAAATTCTCAAGGCGACAACACACCAACACCAGACAACATTTATTACAATCCTCGTCGTATGTTCTTCCATTCATTTGACAGCGATCAGCAAAGCCCTGTAGACCAGTTTCTTGATTATTTGCAGCACCACGGGCCAAAAAATATTCTCACAGTCTGCATTGCCCACAATGGTGGTAAATATGATTTTCACTTATTGTTGGAGGCTCTTCACCATCGCAGCATCCCACCAAAGCGGCTCTGCACTACAGGACTGAAAATCTATTCAATGCGGCTGGGCGGTAGTCATCAAAGAAGGGTGCTTTTCAAGGATTCGCTCAACTACTTCTTCTGTGAACTTGATGCGCTCACCAAAGTATTTTCACTGCCAGAGGATGTGGCTACGACCAAGCCATTCTTTCCTTATCTCTACGTGAAAAGACAACACCTTCACGAAAGAATAAGAGGAGTCCCTCCAGTGCAATACTACCAGCCTGATTACAAGAAGGCCGAGAAGAGAGCAAAGCTTCTAGAATGGCATCAACAACAAATGAACAACCCAATTATTCACTTCCAACTACGCGAACAACTAATCATCTATTGTTTAAACGACGTGGCCATTCTTCGTGAGAGTGTTCTCCGTTTTAGACATCTAATCGGCGAGCACACTCAGAAGCTTGACCCGTTCGTCTCGGCCTCAACAGCGGCAGGACTAGCTCTAACAACACTACGCCGATGTTTCTTACCAGAGAATTGGCTTGTTCATTCACCAGAAGGCGGATACTTGCGTGGGAGGAGGGCTTCAGCAGAGTCACAGCGCTACATCAAGCTGTTTGAGAAGGAAAACCCCGAGGCTGAAGGAAAAGTGCAGTGTGCTCAGTGGGCGATCGGCGAAGCTCATGTGGAGGATACTGGTTACCGACTTGATGGACTTTGGTATAGATCGCCTCCACTTCGACCACTGGCAATCGAATACATGGGCTGCTATTACCACGGTAATTTTATTAGTCTTTTGCTAAGCTATTATTAAATTTAGGTTGTCCAATTTGCTTCCCTGTTCGTAGTCAACGACTCGCTGCTGGAAAAACTGCTGAAGAACTATATGAAAGGACACAACAACGTCTATGGGAGCTGGAATATCAGCACGGCTACGCTCTTCATGTAGTCTGGGGCCATGAGATGAAGGAAAGGTTGAATAGAAATGCTGAACTTAAACGCCAATGGTGGGAGATTGAATATGTGAAGCCGATGGATCCGAGGGAAGACTGCTTGAGAGGTGGACGAACTGAGCCTTTCAAGCTCCATCACGTCTGTGGGAATGACGAGGAGATTCTCTACATTGACATTGTAATTTTTCTTTAAACATACAATTTTATTTTATCAACATAGGTGAGTCTCTACCCATACGTGATGAAGGCACGCGAGTTTCCGATTGGACATCCAACAATTCTGACGAGAGAGACTCTACTCGATTCCTTGCCTTGGACTAGACCTAACAACAATGCTTACAAAGGACTTTTGCTGGTCAGAGTGCTTCCTCCAACATCAATACGAGGACTCCCACCATTACTCGGCTATCGCACGCATGACGGACGTTTGACGTTCCCTCTATGTGCTGCGTGTGCTGATGATAGGCAACAACATCAGTGCCAACATTCAGAAAGGCAACGTTCTTGGCTGAGTGGATATACCCACGTGGAATTGAACAAGGCGTTGGAGCTGGGGTATAAAGTAGTGGACGTCCATGAGGTTATTGTTTTTAAAAAAAATCCTGTCTATTAAAAATTAGGTTTGGCACTATGAACGATGGGACTCCGATTTGTTCAAGGGATACGTCAACACCTTTGTGGGGCTTAAACAACAAGCAAGTGGCTGGCCGCAAGGATGTGAGTCATTGGAACAGAAACAACGCTATTTGGCGGAATTTGAACATGTGGAAGGTATTCGTCTGGAAATGGCCAAAGTGGAGTTGAACCCAGGGCTTAGAATGATTGCGGTTATTTTTTTTTAGCAAATTTCAAATATTTGTAAATTTTAGAAAATTTTGGCAAACTCCCTTTGGGGAAAGCTGGCACAACGTGTTGGTGGAACAGAAATTCGATATGCGCGTACTCCGGCAGAATTCCATCAGATTTTGGAGGACCCGACGCTCGACACACTGGACTTTTCCCACGTTAGTGAGGAAATGGACAGATGTGTGGTGAGAAAGAAGGCTGAGTTTGCAACGGCGCCTGAGACCAACTGTTTACCCGTCGCAGCATTCGTAACATCATATGCCAGACTACATCTGTACGGGTATATGCAGCAGGTTAACAACATTGGTGGTCAACTCTTGTACTGCGACACAGATTCGATCATCTACGTTGCAAAGCAAGGAGGGGTGAGAGTGTTGGAAGGCGAAGCACTTGGACAAATGAAGAGAGAAATTCCAACACGGCGAATTGTTGAGTTTGTTGCGGGTGGCCCAAAGAACTACGGCTATCGTCACGTGGATGCAGCAACAGGAGGTGATGAGAGAGCTGAGCTGAAGATCCGTTCGTTCCCTCTCTCCTATGCCACGCACCAACTCCTCAATTTCCATTCAATGAAACAACTTGTACTCGATCAATTTAACATTGATGGGGAGATGTAAGTTTTTTTAAAAAATAATTCATTAACTATTCTCTAATTAGTGACGAAGTGCTTGCTGATGGAGTGATTGGCGTGGACTTTCCGCAGATTGGGCGCACAAGACTTTCGGAACTCTACACTCACATGGCTCACAAAGACTATAGACCGTGCTATGAGAAGGGAAGAATTTTGCCTGGAATGGAGACTTTGCCATTCGGCTATAGAGAGGAGGTAATTAAAGGAGAAATAAACAAAGCAAACTTTTTTTTTTATTATAGACTAGATTGGAAGAGGACTTTGAAGCATTGCCTGGAGGATCAGGATGGACTAGAGATGATTATTTGGCAAGATACTCATAGATATTATTTTTATTGTATTCATACATTTAACTGTCTAGTAAATCTTATGAAATTTATTAACGTGTATATTTTTCAAGCAGGGGTAAAAGAAAATTTTCAAATATATCTTTCATTTGTTCTTCCGTTTTAATTCCGGTTGATATCATGCGTCCTGAGATGTAGCAGAGACATGAAGCATCTTTAAGCTTAAATCTAAGTGCTGGAAAGATTGTAGGATCATAAAACACTTGGCGAAAATTATTGTTGTTGTTGTTTCTTAGTTGTGTGTAAAGTTGTTCAATAGCCAAGCGTTGTGGGTGGCGATAGACACCCACAATATTGGTGACCCGCAGATTTCTAAGTCCGATTGAAGAGTTGTCATTCCCAGCGGTCTTGTTAGAGGCCAAAATTCTTTTTGTAACTTTCCAAGCCAATTTCCTTGCAAGTTCAGGAGTTGGAACACCAGTAAGGACTACTTTTGAAGACTCGAATATGAGTGCAGCAGTAGTTCTATTTTCTTTCAATCGAAGGCGCATAATTATAGAATGGAATCTCTTGGGATTATACTCTGTATTTATTCCAAATCTAGCTAGTTGAATGAAATCTTCATGTGAAAACCTTAAGTTCCTAGGTAAAAGTTTGAATACAGCTGTACAATTTTCTATATTCATAATATTTACTTGACAAAACAATTTAACAAATGAAAAAATATTTATTTAAAAAATTCAAAAACATCTTTTCATCTTATTCTCAGTCACAGAAAGAACCTCCAACGGGTAGTAAGAACGGTGACGCCCTCCACCAAATTCAATGATACAAGGCAAATAGGGATGCTCCAGTTTGACTTTGTGTTTGATGTAGTAGTATCCACGGACCTGAATATAAAATTTTTTTAAATAGTTATATAAATATTTACCGTTATGCTCAAATATCCGCCCATAGCATGTACCACACTTGCCGATCGAACAGTCAGATCATTGCAGTGAACAATAAAGTTTTTGCAGCAAGGTTTGAGATGACATGTACGTAGTTCAACATTTCGGCGCAGATGATTAATTATTTCCCGACGCTCCTCAAGATTGTGGAAGAGAACATGAAGTTCTTTCAGAGAGCAATTCTTCAAATTGCACAAATATTCAATCAGATGTACAGTTTCCGGTGGAGGCGGTGGTGTAGGTTCACGAAATGGGTTTTCGACAGTCCAGTCCAGAGGTTCGTCTATAGTTATACGAAGAAGCTTGTCGCTCATGTCTAGCATAGCCTCGTCAATATCTTCCTCTTCCTTTTCTTCTTTGATCTTTACTTCAACAGGAACACCAAATGCTGGTGTAGGGGGCTAAAATTAAAATTAATTTGATTTTAAATAAAAATAGTACCTTTTGTTCCGGTTCTTCCTTAATCTTTTCTTCCCCAACTGCTGGTGTAGGTGGCTAAAAATTAAGAATAATTGGAGTTTAATTAAAAATTAAACCTCCGGTTCTTCGTCAACAATGACTAATTCAGGCTCAGGTTGCGCAGGCTCAGGAATAAATGGCACCCCATCTTCCACACCCCAAATCATAAGCGTGAGGAATTCCATAGTTCTGAATAGAAATTAAAATTTTATGGATCTATATATACTAGTAAAATGATTGAATTGTACCTTTTAAAATGAACGGATTTGAACACGTTGATTTTATTCACACACTGTTTAAGCACCCTTTCACGATGATTGTGTCAGGAAGCACTGGGTCTGGTAAATCCGAATGGGTAAAAAAGTTTTTGAATAATCTGAAAGAAATGACAAGTGAAACAATTACAAGGATTCTTTATTGTTATGGGGAGTTAAATTCAAATATATTACAAATGCAGCGTAAAGGTTCGGTGGGAGATATAGGTGTTACTGTTCATTCTGGAATGCCGAGCGAAGATTTTATTAAGAGGCAGGGCAATGGAATGTTACTTGTACTTGACGATTTAATGGTTGGAGTTGATCAAACTATATTAGAAACAATATTCACAAGGGGGTCCCATAACTGGAAAATGAGTGTTATATTGTTAACACAACATTTATTTTGCAAAGAATTAAGAATCCCGCGTAATAATTCACATTATTTGGTCTTGATGAGGAATCCCGCTGGTTCCCTTCAGATTAAAAACCTTGCTACCCAATTATTCCCCTCACGGTCAAAATATTTTTTAGAATCGTATGCCGACGCGACAAAGGAAATGTATGGTTATCTTTTGGTTGATCTCCACCCAAGTACCCCTGAAAAGCTTCGCCTTAGAACACATATATACAATGAAAAGGAAACAATAGTTTACGTCCCAAAATGACAAAAACCAGCGAGTTAATAGAAAGGAATGCGGATTTTTTGCATTCTGCGAATACAAATTCAAAAAAAGTATTGCGAAATCTTTTGGAAAAAGCGACTGATGAACAATTATTGTGTTTTGTTGAAATTTGTTTAAATTTACTAAGGGGGCGTCTCCCTTTTCATAAAAACAGAAAAACTACTCTTCAAAAACATGCAAGTATTTTACGTAAAATTAGTCGATCACGGACCGCCCCCTCAACAAGAAATTTGTTACAACAGGGAAAAGGTATACCTCCTTTGGCTGGACTTATTGCGAGTCTGGTTATCCCGTTAATTGTTGAAAAAGTAAATAATATAAATATGAAAAAATAAAAGAAAAATGGAAAAAATGCAACGAATGTTTCTTATTCCTGAAGATTTCTACAATAGTCTTTTAGAGAAAAATGAACAAGGGGATGGTACGGCTATTGGCTTAATCAAAAATCGCTTGCAAAATGCTGTTGCCAATAATGAGGGAATGGATCCCGATTCTCAAGCAATTAATTATGAGCAGAATTTGAAGCGATTTAATAAACTTTTAAAAGAAAAAGAGGAAAAACCTATTAATGTAAATGTAAAAAATTTTTCTGAAAATTTAGGAGTAAACAATTCTAGAATAATCCTAAGAAAAAGGGTAAGGCGAAAAATTGGAAAGAAAAGGCACATTCCAATTAAGAGTGAGGAGGATGTGGAAGAGGAAGGGGGCGGGGCTTTTGAAGAAGAATACCAGTCAGCTGAAAGTGATGCCGATCCAAAAGATCAAGCAATGGAATATTTAAGAGAAAATGCTGATATTCTAGGCGTTTTGGAAGATGGAAGACTTGCCAGAAAAATTGGTAACGATTATCCATTCATTACAAGTAATGTTGAGGAAATTGTAAATCATATAATTAGAAATAGAGGGATTCGTACAAAGAAATTACCTACAGGTTACGACGAATTTATTAAAAGAATAACCGATCATCCTATTTTACAACAGATTTTATTCCCAGAATCTACAAGTAAGCAAAAAGGTTCCGGTGTATTCTGTTTTAAGCCGTCGTTATGGACAAGACCAAGCTTTTAAATAAATTGTACAAAAATGTAACATCTCCTACTTGTTTCACTTCTGTTGAACCTCTTCTGCAAGAAGCTAAACGGTTTAACAAAAGCATCACAAGACAAGATGTTAAAAGCTATCTTGCGGGGCAAAATGTCTATACTCTCCATAGAAGAGTTGTGAGAAAATTCAAGCGAATGCCAACACTTGCTCCGGGGTTGCATACTGAATGGCAGGCTGATTTGAGTGTTTTTAATCGTATAAGCAGTCAGAATAGAGGGTTTAACTATCTCTTAGTCTGTATTGATACACTTAGCCGCCAAATTTTTGTTGAACCTGTCAAAAGTAAACATAGCGGGAATATGATTAATGCATTTAAAAAGCTATTTGCTCGAGTAAAAATTGTTCCTTGGAAACTTTTGACTGATCAAGGACTAGAATTTACTGCAAGCCCAGTTCAAAAATATTTCAAATCGTTAAATATGGAACATTTCTCTATGATTACTTCTCCTATATGGCATGCAGGTATGGCTGAAAGAGCCAATCGTAGCATTAAAGAGCGCTTATACCGTTATTTTTCGGAGAACAAAACATTAAAATGGGTAAATGTTATTCAGGATATTGTTAATTCTATAAACAATTCCTTCAATTCGAATATTGGGATGCGTCCTGTAGATGTTAATTATGAGAATGCTGAATCATTGCGAAGATCTCTAAAAGAAAAGGCAATTGAGCAACATGGACCGAGACGATGGAAGGAGAATAGGTTTAATGTAGGCGACCCTGTAAGAGTGGAAAAGAATAAGCAAGTGTTCAAAAAGGGATATTTGCCAAATTTTACAAATGAAATTTTTATTGTTGCTAAAGTCCGATTGGTTCCACATCAGCCTCCAACCTATAGAATTCGTGATAGGGGAGGAGCTTTAATTCGTGGTTGGTTTTATGGTAATGATTTAGTGCTAGTCAGAAAAAGATTAAAAGAAAGTATCTATATTGTGGAAAAGGTTTTGAATAAGCGAAGACATAATAGAGAGGATCAACTTTTCGTAAAATTCAAAGGATACAGTAATGAACATAATAGGTGGATTCCTGCTAGTGCAATAACCTGGAAATGATATACATATTCCTTCATTCTTGCCAATTTTGTTAAAATGACTTCTTTCTATATTATTCTCCCTTCAAACACAAATGTTGATGGAAACAGGACAAACTCCTTTAGAGTCCGCCTTCCTCGTAAACTACAATTTAATTCGGAGTGGTATGTGGGCTTGACCGTTATGGTCTACCCACACTCATGGCCTTCAATAGGGACTAGTACTGATCAATTTGTAACTGTAACATGGCAAAGTGGTGAGATTGTTCGAGTAGCTGTTCCCTCTGGCAATCTGACTAATCCCCAGCAGCTCAAGGAAAGTTTGGACAGGTCTTTAAGTGAAGGGTGTGAAACATTTGCTGAAAATTTACGGGTTACTGAAATGGAATACAAGAAACAGTTAAAAGACCTTAAAACAAAATCAAAAGAAGTGTATATTAGACAAAAAGAGGAGAAGAGAATAGAATTAAATGCAACTGAAATACAAGAGGATGATCTCAAGTCAGAGAATGAAATTTATGAGGATATGTTAAGTGATTTTAACTCGAGTCTTGATGAAAATACTAAAAAATTATTATCTTTAACTAAAGAAACTGGGTTTGAACCTTGGCTTCAAGTTTATCGTAAACCAGGAATTGCTTGTGCCTTTGATTTTCATTCGTATAAAAATCGTTTTTCTCTATTTGTAGGTAGAAAATATGTAAAGAAAGTTGAGATTACAGAACAATTAGCTTATATTCTAGGATTTGACAAAACTGTATTGAATGAATCAACTCTTGCAAAATTCATGCCAGATATGAGTGGAGGTGTCTCTTGCTTTCATGTTTATGCCCCAGGATTAATTGAACCAATGGTGATTGGTGATGTTACAGCTCCTGTACTTCGTATTGTGACAATACGAGGGAAGCAGGATGAAATTATCGAGGAACAATTTCTTTCTGTACAGTACCATAAATTACTTGTAAAAGAAATTGCTGAAATACTCATTGAAATACGCACGGCCAGTGGGGTACTTATGCCATTCCAATACGGAACTTGTACTTTAACTCTCCACTTTAAAAAATCTGCCTACTTTTAATGAATACGATACAAATTGACAAAATCCTGAGAAGGAATGCTATTACAAATAGGTTTTATATTGGCTGTTTTGCATCTGATAGGATTCCTCTTACAATATCTACTTTTCCCTTTTGTATGGTTGTTAATACTGACCCTTCATTGCTCCCCGGCTCTCATTGGATAGCTATATTTTGCTCCTCTCCCTCTAGTGTTGATTACTTTGATTCGCTAGGATTCTGGCCTCCATTTAGTTTTTACATTAAGAAATATTTGTCAAATTTTACAAAGGTTTCGTATAATAGTATTCAAATACAGCAGCCAATGGGGCACACTTGTGGTAAATACGCAATATTTTTCTTGTTTATGCGTTGTTCAGGTTTTTCTATGGAAAATATCATTTTAATATTAAGCAAAGTAAATGCTGATAGATTTGTCTCGCAGTTTATTGCTACTAAAGCTTTTAATATAAATACTTGAAAGAGTAAATTTTGTACATTACAATGCATATTGACTTTAATCCTCTCTATGTTGATTGGTCATCGTTGACCGAATCTCATGACCAATGGGGTGGTTATAACGTTTTTCGCGGTGTTCCCTTCCAAAGAGGTAGCGGGTTAGGATCTGTTTTTCGAAGTTTGCTGAGGTATTTGATTCCAATTGGAAAAGAAATTGGCACAGCCATTGGCCGCCAAGGGTTGGAATCAGGCAATCGTGTCTTGAGTAACGTATTGGAAGGGAAAGAACTTAAAGAATCTCTTGTAAATGAGGGTAAATCAGGACTAAAGAATTTGTTAGAAAAAGCAGCCAATAATATTGAGAAGCAAAAAGGAAATGGTTTTGAATTCAAAAGAAAAAAGGAAATTCGTCCCAAGACAATTGGGCAGATGAATACCGAAAATATAAATAAGACTTGTTATTCCAAGATTGGCCCCCCAAACTTTATTCCTACTTTTTCAAAAAGGAAAATAACTCGTCCAAAGAAACGTATACGCATAGACGCATTAGGACCATATTAAAATGAGTTGTTCCAAGAAGATTAATGAGAACAGCCCACTGGCGCTCAACAGTGCTTTAAGCATTTTTTCCGTTCCTCCCACAAATGTTTCGGTTATTCGTTCCTTCTTTCGTGAAATTCTTCCACTGAGTACAATAACACAAGATTCTCCCTATCTATTTCGCTTGTTTAGCGACAATCTCTGGACAGACTTGAGTCGTACATATCTTCACCTTGAGCTTTCTATTGAAAAACAGGAAGCAGGAGGAAAATGGACACGTATTTTGGCAGCTGATACTGGTATTGGGTCAATACAAGGTATCGGGGAAACATTTGTTCAACAACTTAAAGTTACTGTAGGTAATACAGAGGTATATGATAGTGGAACTCTTTATCCTTATAAATCATATTTAACAAATGAACTCTCATTCCCTGAGAATGTAAAAACAAATTTTCTTTCTTCCATTGGCTATCGGTTGAGCACTAAACATGATGATATTACTGATCATGGTTTTCTAGAACGTTGCTCGATTTTTAAAGAAGGAAAGCGGGCCCAGTTCCTTTCTCGCTTAGATTTTGATTTGGGAAATCAGGAATTATTTTTACTCAACAATCTCGATATTCACTTTAGTATCTATCGCTCCAAAGATGCTTTTGCTTTACAGAAGTTAAATCCTGCTGACGAAAATCAGTATAGAATCTTTGTCCACGATGTTAAATTATTAGCGAAAATGATTGAGGTCCAGCCCTCCCTTAACATGAGCATTTACAAAACCCTTGAATCAAAACCGGCTACTTATGCAGTGAGAAGAACTGAGCTAAAATCTACTTTCCTAAGTCCTGGGAGAACCGAGATTGAATATAATGCATTTAGTTCAACCATTCCTAGGAGAATTACAGTTGCACTTGTTGCAAATGGAGCATTTAACGGGGACATTAGTCTTTCACCATTTAATTTTAAACCATTCAATTTGAGGGATATTTCAGTTCATACTGGTGGCCATATTTATCCAATGGTCTCATATAAGCTTAAATTTGACGAGGATATTTTCGTGAGGGCTTATGTTGACATGTATGAAGCATTAGGGATGGCCAATTCGGATAGGTCCTTTGACATCTCAATGTCCCAATTTAAATCGGGCTGGAGCTTTTTTGTTATTCCACTAACATCTACTTTAGATGATTCTTGCGGATTTGAGCTGCTACGTAGTGGAACAACTAGTGTTCGTCTAGAATTTAATTCTCCAATTCCAGCAGGTGGTGTCGAAATGATAATTATGGGCGAGTTTGATCAAGTGCTAATGATTGATTATAACAGACATATAGTTTCTGATTCAGCACTAGGTTAATACATAACAGTTTTCCTAATTTTGGTAATAACAATGAACAATACAATCGACGTTCCTTACGATTTTTTATCTCTTGATAGAGAATATTTGGAGGGTAAACAGGGCCAAACTATAAGTACAGGATTTCCCATTATTCTATTATTATATTCACTTTTATTACCCATCCTAATCCTTTGCTGGATTTCAACAATAAGATATTTACGCAACCGCGGCTATTTAACCAATAGCGAGGCAGCGGATATTGTCCAAAATTTTCCCCTTGTCTCTACACGTAACCCAAAATAATAAGCAATAGTTGGACCAAATAAGAGTTTATAGGTTAGTTGGCCAAGTGAGGTTTGGCAAAATGTGATTTTATAGGATGTTTGGCCAATTGTGGTTATATAGGTTAAGCGGTCAAATGTCGTTTCCTGCTGCAGGAAAATAAGAGAAGAGAGAGTGTACTACACACTCTCTCTCTTCCCCCGCAGCTGGGTGGCTGTAGTTTGTGACAGCCATCCAGTTGCCACACTACTTCTCTTTTCTCTAACCACTGGGTTAGAGAACGTTCACCCACACTGACTCAAGCAAGTTGAGTCAGCGCTGTCTCTCTCAAGCCTTCTCTCTCCTTATTTTCTTTTTCTATTTTCTCCTCGTGGGCATTTAAGGGTGTGGTCGATCAATAATAAATTTTCCCACTGGGAGGAGGAGGGGTTAGAGAACATGCACTGACTCAACCAGGTTGAGTCAGTGCTGTCTCTCTTTATTTTACCTTCTCCCTACTTGTTTTCTCTTTCTATTCTTTCCTAGCGGGGTTTTAGCGGGGATTCAATCAATAATAATTTTTCCCATTGAAGCTGGTTGAAGAGAGCAGGAAACCAGCCGACATATATTCAATTTTAATTCAAAGCTATTAAAGCTCGCGTGTGTGCGAATGGATAAGGCGTCCGCCTACAGGCTGAAGGTTGGTGGTTCGACTCCGATGGTGGAAAATTAATTTTAAAAAATAATTTTAATAGGTTTTGGCTGGTTGGGAAAAAAATTTTACAGCAAAACCCTTCAAAAGGTTTTGGTTTGGCTGGAGAAAAATTTACCGAAAAAACCCTTCAAAAGGTTTTGGCTGGTTGCACGTGCGAGTCACGTGCAAGCAGCGAAGGAAAGGCTTTGAACAAAAGCCTATGCCTTTTTGAAGAAGAAGAGAGAATCAATCGATAATCAAAGTGGCATTATATAGTAGTAAGGTATTTATTTTTTATTGAAAAATATAAAAATTATTTAGACGCTACACTCCAATCTATGACAAAGGATTTGTAGATGCAAATTTCGATTGTTATCCCTATGGATATCGGGGCGAGCCTATTATTGATCCAACAAAATGATTTTTTTTCGTATAAATATTTTTTAATAAAAATATTGTTTTAGATTTGTTTTATACTATATATCTTTTATAAATTTTTGTTTAGTAGTTTTAAAATATTTTTAGCAAAATGATCAGTGATATCAAAATAGGTTAATTTTTAAAATTAATTTAAATATAAAATATTTTAGATAATACAGCTTATTTCCTAGAACGACTTAAAATAAAAATTACTGCGAACTCGCATCCACCAATAGAAATTATTGGTGAACAACATCAAAATATATTCATATTTCATTCTCAACGTTTTGGCTTTGACAATCGGTTTAGATCGAGTTTCACACTACTTGGGAAAACATTTAGTTCAGTTGAACAATTTTTCATTTGGCAAAAAGCACGTTTCTTCGGGGATTTGGAGATTGCTGAAGAAGTATTAATGCTAGATAATCCTATAACTATTCGAAGAATTGGGAAACGTATCCGTGGATATAATCAAATTGAATGGAACACTGTTCGCAACAAAGTAAAAAATATTATTTATTATTTCATCATAATATTTAGGTAATGTACACAGGAATATGGGCAAAATTTACCCAGAACATTCAGCTATTCAATCAGTTACGTGCCACAGGCGATGGACTTATTACGCAGGCGTCCGCATCAGAACTTTATTGGAGCAACGGCGTAAGCCCAAAAAGTGCAAAACTGAAAGACCCTAATCAATGGGAAGGCGAAAATTATCTTGGAAAACTCTTGATGGAATTAAGAAGCGAAATCAACACTAGTATTTATTGATTTTTTACAAACGTTAAAATAGAATTGTAAATTTTATTTTGAACAATAAAAATTTCTTCTTCTGTTCGTGCGCCTGTAATTATACACTTTCCAGTTGTAAAAATTAAAACAACCGTGCGAAAATCAACAAGTCTTAAGCACATACCCGGAAAAAATTCTGGGTTGTAAGAAATATGTTTAGCTAGCCACTGTGGAGGAGCAATTCTCAGGGTGTCGTACAAGGCTTAAAAAATAATTCATTATGATAGGAAAAAAGTTACCCGGTAAATTAATATGTCCAGGAAAAGCAAATGAGGATACAACATTTTGTATCTTAAATCCTCGCATTTTTATTGGCAAGGAACTTGCAGATGATATAATGTCAACAAAATGTCCAATTGCAATTTCCGAATCCTTCACCGATTTTGTCCCAACACATACTATCCGTCCGTTAGAAAATATTAAAGCCGTAGATCTAATTGGTTGTTGAATTCTAATTATAAGTGCTGAGAAACGTTCAGGAGCATATTTAGAATTGTTTATTATTTCTGCAAGATTAAAAAGATTAAGTTTACAATTTTTATCAAGTAGTTGAGCAGTAGAAACAACATTTTGAATAATTGCTTTAGGAATCATCTGTAATATATAAATGAAAACACATTTTTTACAAGGCAAAAAAAAATGTTCAAAGCTCCTTTCACTATGGTTATTTCCGGTGCCACAGGCAGCGGAAAAACCCAATGGCTTATGAAATTTCTGGCAAATTGTGAAAAATTAATTGACCATCCGCCAAATAAAATATTATTTTGTTTTGGTGAAATGAACGAAAATATATTTAAATTAAAAGAAATGGGAATAACAACATATAATGGGGTTCCAGAAGTCGAGATGATTAAACAACACCAATTATTAGTCCTAGATGACTTAATGCTAAATATCCCTATGGAATTTCTAGATTTACTATTCACTCGAGGATCGCATAATTGGGGTGTAAGCGTAATCTTTGTAACACAATCACTTTATGGGCGCGATATCAGGACAGCTCGAGCAAACGCCCATTATATTCTTTTAACTAAAAATCCTCAAGGACTGCTCCAGGTACGTACACTCGGTTCTCAGCTTTTCCCAAAAATGTTAAACTATTTTCTTGAGGCTTATCGCGATGCCACTTCCGAACAATTTTCCTATTTACTAATTAATATGCATCCAAGTACAGAAGAGAATCTGCGTCTTTCCACTAAAATATTTCCAGGTGAAAAACAGACTATATATTTGCCTCTATAATATATAAGTGATCTTAAAACTATTATTTATAAAAAAATGTATGACTATAGTCCATACGTAAAAGAAAATTTTGAATTTTTACAGCGTTTAGCTAAAACATCTTCCGATAAAAAGAAAAACGCTTTAATTCTTTCAGCCAGTGCAGATCAAATATTAGCAATAGTTGAAATCTGTGCTAATATTTTAAAAAATAATTTTATATTAAATAGAAGACAGCGCAAAAAGTTAGCTCAATTTGCGGATTTCTATAGAGCTATCGCCCGAACACGTACTGAAAAAAGCGCTAGAAATCGAATACAACAAGGAGGTAGTGCCGCTCTTGCTGCTATACTTGTACCTGTCCTAGGAGCCTTAGCTGAACATATCATTCATAGATTCACACAAGAATGAAACATACAAAGAAAATGATTATGGTTCCTGAAAGCGAATATCTTACACTATTAAGCATGATCAAAGGCGGAGATTCTCTTCAAAATGAAAAGTTACAGACAGACTCAAAAATTAAACAGACTCTTAGTGATCCAAATTTAAGAGAAGATGTCAAAGCCCAAAAATATAACTTGTTATATAAGAAAAGGAGACAACTCAAACATGAGTTAGAAAATAGGCCTCAAAAGGTGATAATCGATGAAGGTAATGTAGCTAGAGCTTCAGAAATTGCTCCTTACCTAAAGGAAACTGCAGCCCCTAAAGCACAGTTACAACCAGTACAATCAAGTTCAGAATATCAAACAGATTCAGAATTTACATCGACAAAACTAATGAAAAGAAGAAAAACAACACCTTTTAATGGAATTATTTCAAAAAGATATTCGAAAGATTTAGAAAATTATGTCAAAGATAATGCTGAAAAATTTAGAATACGTAAGAATGGAAGCTTCGAATCTAACGTCAAAGGAAGACTTGTAAAGAATAGTAATTTCACTGAAGTGCTCGAATATGTACAAGGTGATATATCGTCACCTCCTAAAGGTTTTAGTTTTCTATTTAATCGATTATCCAAAGACCCATTAGTAAAAGAAATGATCAAAGAGACGCAAGGAGAAAGTAGTACAGAGGAAAGGTCTGGAAGTCAATCAGGTAGTGGGAAAAGTAAGAAAAGAGTTTTGGTAAAAGTCCTGCCTATAAAAAAGAAAAATAAATTTATTCCTCAAATATGGGAAAAGCTTTAGATAATTTTTTATCAAAAATATATTATTCGCTAAATTCTCCTGCTTCCTATGCAGGAATACATCGTGTTTATGAAGAAGCTAAGCTCAAATATCCAAAGTTAAAATATCAGGACGTCTATAATTTTTTGCATAAGCAAAGAGTGTATACGATGCATCGACCAATTAGAAAAAAATTTCCCAGATTAGTTACAAGGCCAAGTGGTCTTCATACAGATTGGCAAGCAGATTTGGCCATATTTGATCAGATATCTAAACATAATGATAATAACAGATACCTTTTAGTATGTATTGATGTTCTAAGTCGGAAGATTTTTGTAGCGCCCGTCAAAACTAAGAGATCAGAAGATATGATTGAAGCATTTGAAAAAGTTTTCAAACTTTCAGATGGTATCTTGCCTCATAAATTGTATACTGATCGAGGATTAGAATTTGAGGCTAAAAGAATGAGGGAATATTTTATATCCAAGGATATTGACAAGCGTGTAGTTTATAGTCCTGATGTTCATGCTTCAATGGCAGAAAGAGCAAATCGTACAATAAAAGAAAGATTATATCGATACTTCAGCGAAAAAAACACACTTCGGTGGGTTGAAGCCATTCAAAAAATTGTTTCTGGAATAAATTCAAGCGTAAACCGTGTTACAGGTGTTACACCTAATTCTGTTACTTTTAAAAATTCTCAAAATTTATTTGAAAGACTATATAAGGGCACTGATGATCCTATAAAAATAACTTCTAAACTCGAGCCTGGACAAGTTGTCCGTATATCAAAAGAAAAGGGTAAATTTGAAAAAGGTTATTTACCAAACTATACTGACGAGCTTTTTCTTATACATACAACTAACGACGCACGTACGCCTATAACATATAGGTTAAAAGATTTTGAAGACAACCTAATTGAAGGAATATTCTATAGAGAAGAGTTGGTGCCCACGAAAGAGGATACTACTCATCGTATTGCCGAAATTTTAAAGACTCGTACAACACGTACAGGGATAAAGCAACACTTTGTGCGTTGGGTTGGTTATAAAGATATACATAACAGCTGGGTAAACGACAGCGACATAGTTCGACATTAACCATGGATTCATTTTATGTTGTTTTACCTTCAAATTCTGAAGATGTTGAAGGAAATACTACCTCAAAGTTTACAGTAAGGATGCCTGACACACTTGAGTTAGATTCAAGTTGGACTGTTGCACTTTCAAACATTATTTATCCGTTTTCATTCTCTTTACTTGGAGATTCCGAAGAACAAGAATCTATTACAATTTATCGCCGATATGGAAAGGAACTTCTATCTGTTCGAATCGAGATACCTGATTTGTCTTTTGCCTCAGAAGAGGCATTAGAAGAGGCCATAAATGCAGTTTTGCTTGATGCTTGGAAAAAGGAATTGGATCGCGAGAGAGAGGAAATGAGACTTGAAGAAAATAAAAAAAGAATCTATGGGAATTTTCGTAGAAGACGAGCTGTTGAGACTATAAGCGAACAATTAGTTAAAAATGGGTATTTTGATTTGTCAAAGGAAATTTCATTTAATTTCATGAAATTTTTAGGAAAACAAGGAATTCGTTTACCGCCTATAAGCCCTCATGCAATAGATGGTATAGAAATGGTTCGTTTCACTCCAAATCACGATCAAATAGAGCTGATCAAACATGCACTTGATGAATTTACTAATCCTCCCTCAGCCAATCAAAATGAAGAACACTCGACTGTTACTCCTATCGAAGAAACCATTGAATTTACTCCGCAAACACAGCCCAAAGTTGAACAAAAAGAAAAATTGCATACTGCCGAGTATGAGAGTTTCATTCAACAATTGGAAACGGAAGGTTACTTTGATATGCCAAAAGATCGTGCTTATAAATTTATTCAATATTTAAATAAAGAAATTAAGGGGGCAAAACTTCCAGTTCTATCTTCAGTTCCGGAAAGCTCTGTTGTTCGATTAAAGCCGCAAACTGAGCAAAAAGATATAATAATAAATGCAATTAAAAGTTTTGCATCACCTTCCCCATCTGAAAATACTTTACACGAAGCAAGTTTAGTGGAAAATGTTGATGAAAATCCTGAAACGCCTGCTCCCTCTCAAGTTTATGTTAAAAATCAAATTAATGAAAAAACAGAAAGTTTGCCTACATCTGATAGTTCTATAACTGATGATCCTCCTATCCCAAAGTCTCCAGTAACACCTGTATCAGAAAGTTTTGCATCACCTTCTCCATCTGAAACTAAACCTGAAAATCCTTTACAAGAAGCAATTTTAGTGGAAAATGCTGATGAAAATCATGAAACAGATACACCTGCTCCTTCTCAAGTTCAAGTTAAAAATCAAATTAATGAAAAAACAGAAATTTTGCCTACATCTGATAGTTCTATAACCGATAATCCTCCTATTCCAAAGTCTCCAGTAACACTTGTATCAGAAGCTCCTACTGAAGCTCCAGTATCTTCGGAAAAAAAATCGGATGATATACAACAGGATGCTGAGAAGCAAAATGACAAAACTCCTTTAGACGGAAAGATAACACCTCTTTCTGATACACTAACAGATGAACAAAAAACTTTGATAGATATGGCTGTTCGTGCGGCTACAAGGTCATTGACTAATAGTGTAGAATTGGCAAAGCAACAATCACAACTAAAAAAAGATCTTAATCAGAAATATTGGAAAGATGCTCGTTATAAGTATGCACTACTAGATGAAGAGGTAACATTAAATGAGACGGGGGTAACTAAGAGAAAAGTACCTGCAACCATTCTAAAATTGGTTGTAACACAATTAAAATTATTGTTTAGTCGAAGAAATGAAATAGATAAATGGATACAAGAATGTTTAGATGCAAAAGATAGGGTTTCAGAAGCACAAATAGAAACTGTAGCGGCAGAATCACGAGGCGATGTTACTTAGGCACGAAAAGCTGCAGATCGTGCTAAGGCCGCAGAACAAAAGGTTAAAGAATTAGCCAGTCGAGTTGAAAAAGCTGTTGCGGGTCAGAAAATTTTATCTGAAGAAATTGTAGGCAAAGTTGAAGTTGAACTTTCGAAACAAGACTTTGAAACTTCATCAACAAAAATAACAACTCCTGATGATGAAGAGACTTCGACACATGAAGAGGAAAATAATGAAAGTCAAGTCGAACATGAAGAAGAGCCTAAAGGACCGACTGAAGATATGCAAGAAAATAGTAAACAGCCTTCTACACATGAAGAGGAAAATATTGAGGAAGAAGCAGAATCAACTGATGACATCGCTGAAGAGCCATCTGAAGATACACAAGAAAAGGATGAAGAACCTTCAGCACCTGCAGAAGATGAAAATATTGACGCTGAACATGAACAAGAAGTCGCTGAAACGCCTGAAGAAACTTCTGAAGGTCCGCAAGAAATGGATGCAGATCCTGCGACAATTGTATAAGATGAAAATATTGACGATGAACATGAACAAGAAGTCGTTGTAGATACTTCTAAAGAAATATTGGAAAATGAAAAAAATATTGAACCTCGTGAGGAAATAGAACAAGAAGTCGCTGAGGAGCATGTAGAATTTTCTAAAGAAAAGATTCAGGAATTTCCAGGAGTTGATGATGAAGATGAAGAGCCTTGGACTCCCCCCTTAGAAGAGCCTGTACCACATTTAATGGACACTCTTGAAGATAATGAGTCGCATGAATTACCAACAATAAGTGAAGACGCTGTAGAACCATGGTCCCCTGAAAAAGAAGGCTTAGGAAAGCCACAGGAATCTTCGGCAATAATTAATGAGGAAGTGGCTGAAAAAGTGAGTAATCTTCCAACTATTGAAGAAGAACCAGAACAAGTAGCAATTCAGCCTGAGGATCTAAGCTCGTTGCCTGAGCTCCCGCATCCTGAAATGTTAATTGCTGATCCTCCTGAACGTCCTTCCTTTTGGAAAAGCTTCTTTGGTGGTGGAGGTAGGCATGTTGAAGATAAAACCAAAGACAAAGATCTTCCACAACAAGAAAATTTTCATCCGCAAAAAGAATCTGAAGAGTTGGATGATTCGGAGCCTAAAAAATTACATCTAGCTGAATATGCTTATCCTCCTGAATATTTAAAAATGCTTCTTAGTTTCTCCAACATACAACTCGCTGATCCAAAATATCAATGGGTTTCCATACTATACGATAAAGTGCATAAGCGATTTCATGTCTTCTTGCAAGGAAACGTACAATTTATTAAATTAAGTCGTCAACTAGCTTATACTCTTGGTTTCGATTCAGAGAAGGTTCATAGTGGACAAGTCGCAAAGTATATGCCTGATATATCTGGAGGTGTGCGTCAATTTTTAGTTTATGCACCAAAACTTGTTGAAAATAGCATAATAGGTAACGTAACTGCACCTTTATTACGTGTTGTTAATGTATCTGGTGAACCTGGAGAAAGTGTTTCAGAAGTATATATGACCGAACATCATCATCGTTTATTAGGTAAACGCCATCCAGACATTACTATTGAAATTCGAACCTTAACTGGAAAACTAGTAAAATTCCATTGGGGAACTTGTATATTGACATTACATTTTCAACGCTCACTATTTTAAAAAATGACACACGTTGAGTTAGATCTAGATAAAATTGACTGGGAGCCATTTTTGAGTGCTCAAGACGGTGGTGGAAGATTAATTGAAGATAATCGTTATTTTCAAGGAACTAGGTATCAATGAGGATTTGGTGTACTTGGGGCTGTAGGGCGTTTTTTAATGCCTATTGTTAAAAATATAGCCACAACTGCGGGAAATGAGGCTGTAAATGTTGGAAAAAATATTCTCGAAGATGTTTCACAAGGTCGCTCAGTAAGTGAAGCATTGAAACAGCATGGAAGCGAAGGTCTTCAAAAAGTAGGGAAAAAACTAGAACAATGTGGGAAAGGCAAAAGAAGCCGAAAGAAAAAACAAAATGTTATTATAGATAATTTAGGAAAGAAACGTAGACGATATAGAGACCAACTTAGCCTTGATGATTTCTGAGTATATAAGTATTAGTATATTATTATTCGGTAATAAAAATGACGACAATAAAGAAAATTGATAAAGACAGTACTGAAGGGGTTGATAATCGTCTAACTTTCTTTAGTATACCATCAACAAATGTTGGTATTCAGCGTTCGGCGTATAAAGAATTGCTTCCCCTCAATGCACTTAATCAATCTGCAGGTCCTTTTATTTTCCGGTATTTTGGTGACTCACTTTACTTAGATTTGAGTAAGACATATCTGAGTCTTGTATTATCTCTTGAACGTAAGGTTGATGCAACTGGTGAATGGGTCCCAATTGTTAAAGACTTGTCAGGAAATTTTGCGGGTGATAGTTTTACAAGTGTTGCTCAATATTTAGGGTTAACTTGGATTCGTCGTTTAACTCTATCTATTAATGGTATTCAATGCTATGACTCGGGAATCCATTATGCATACAGATGTCTACTTCTTCATGAACTTGGAGCAGATCGTGAGGTTAGCAAAGGTCTCTATGAGGCTGCACTTTATTATAAAGATGCAGTTGACAAAAACGATTTCGAAGGTTCAGGGTTTAAATCACGAGCAGCAAGATTTGCCAAAGGTCAGACTTGCAGATTACTGTCGCATTTGGACTATGATATGGCCAGACAAAATCAGCTTTTAATACCTAATAGTGATGTGCTCTGGACATTTTACAGAAATAGCGATGAATTCCTTATTCATGCACCAAAATATCGTAAAAAAGCTGGTGAAGAATTATTAAATAATACAAGCACATACCGCCTACGACTTCATGATATGAGAATTTTTGTTAAACAAGTTGATTTAAGTATGTCATTAAATAATGCCATTGCACGCCATTTAGAACAGGCGCCTGCAAAATATGCCTATAGAAAGATTGAAATTCGGAGTGTTTTTCTTGGAAAAGGTCGCCAGGAAATTACACATGCTGCGTTCACAAGTACGTGTCCGAGGCGTTTAGTGATTTGTTTTGTAAGCGCGCCTGCATATACTGGAAATACTGCGTTGTCTCCGTTCAATTTTGAGCATGCGAACTTGCGAACTGTTTCAGCAGAATTTGGTGGCTTCCAGTTTCCAGCTGTTCCTTATGATTTTGATTTTTCCAACGACAGCTTTGTACGTGCTTTTGTCGATATGTATGTAGGTATGGACTTAGATGCTTGGCCAAATTCAGATCAAAGAACTTTAAGCATAGGAATGAAAGAATTTTCACAGTCATCTTGTTTCTTTGTTATACCTATGACTTCAACGCTTGAGGATACTAATGGGCTGGAACTCATTAGACAAGGAACAACAACCGTTCGTTGTATGTTCAATCAGCCTGTAAAGGATGAGGGATATGAAATGATAATCATGGGCGAATTCGATGCAATAATGTCCATAAATGCAGATCGTGTGTTAAGTACTGATGGTTCTGTTTAAAATGAATTCTCTCCAAATCGAAAATCTACTTAAAAAATATAAACCTCTAAAAAATAAGTTTATTGGTGTCTTTTCTTCTGACAATATCCCAAATAAAAAATGGACTAAACCTTTTTGTTTTATTGTAAATAATATGCGTAAAGGGACGGTTGGTGAACATTGGGTTGCTTGTTATTCTGATAATCCGAGTACTGTGGAATACTTTGACTCTTTTGCGGATGAGCCGAATTGTGACATGAGACAATCTATGCTGAGTAATTTTTCACACGTAAAACAAAATAAATTTCCTTTGCAATCCCCTCTATCAGATACTTGTGGCCATTATTGTATATATTTCCTTGTATTGCGTTCAAAGAACAATTTTTCATCAACACTACAAAAATTACATTCAATTCCGCCAGAAGCCCGTGACGCTTTATTAAGACGATTCATTCAGCGCCTTTCGTATATAAGATAAAGGTCAATATATTAATTACATTACTAAAATGAAATTTTCAATCTTAATATTATTTTCATTTGTTTGTGTGATATTATCTCACAATGAC